GTGTGTGTGTGTGTGTGTGTGTGTGTGTGTGTGTGTGTGTGTGTGTGAGAGAGAGAGAGAGAGAGAGAGAGAGAGAGAGACACTTTTCCTCTCTACCCCTCTGTGTTTGTGTCCAGTTGTGTTTGTGTTTCTCTCACTCAGTCTTTGCATCTTTCTGACCCTCTGCCCATGTGTCTCTCCATTCTGGGGGGTTTCTATGGGTATGGTGTGTCTGGCTCTCTCTCTCTAGATGGGTCTTTGTCTCCTTGCATGTGTGTCTCTGTCCCTTGGTGTGTCTGTCTCGCACCGTGTGTGTGACAGTCTTTCCCTCTGTTCCTATGTGTGCCTCTTTCTCTCCTCTGTGTGCATGTTGTTCTCTGGGAGCTCACTAGTTCTTCTCACTCTGCATGTCTGTGTGGATCTGTAATTCCATGCGTGTTTCACAGTCTTTTCCTATGTGTGTGCACTTGCCTCTCTCTTTGTCTCACCATCCATCTTCCTGCATATCTGTCTCTCCCCGTATCTTTGTTTGTCTCTATCTCTTCTTGTGTTTTTCTGCCCATCTGTTGCCTGGATAATCTGAGTGGCTACATGTGTTATGTTAGCTCTTTCTCTCTGTGTGTGTATCAGCCTCTCTCTCTCACTGTATGTGCCTAAGTGTGTTTCTCTCCTTTTCTCTCTTTCTTGCATGCAGAAAGTTATCCCTGATGACAGTGTCTCTGGGAGAGGGATCATCCCCATCCACCCATCTCTAGATTCTATGCTTATAGGATTCCCCCAACATATAGCTCTCCCCCTTCCCATGTGGAAGACGATGAGCTGTCTTCATGGCACACTCTTCCTCCCTCCCCCCAATCCTCTAAGAGCTCTCCAGGGGTTGAGAGACCTTGGTGTGGAGAGGTGAGTCCGGACAGGCACTGACATCAGCCTGGGTTAACTTTTCATTCTCCCCACCTCACTCTCCCATGCTGAGAGCCCCCTTTTCATTCATAGATAGAAATGGGTGGGGAAATCCCTTGCCAGGGATCCAGATAGGGGGATCAGTGGGCCATGGAGTCAGTCACGACACCCAGGTTTCTATACAGATGGCCCTGGCCTCTGGCAGATCTCCTGAGATCCATACAGATCTTGGGAGATCCTTGGGTTCTGAGTGGCAAACCCATGCTCATTCCACAGGGAAGGGGCAACCCTTTACTTGCTATAAGAAACATGTCTCCTCACAATGTACCCAGATGACATGCTACACACCTTGGGTAAAATCCTGACCTCACCAAAGTCATGGACTTCAGTAGGGCCAGAATTTCACCCCTTGAAGGTACACAAATCCATCAGTATCTCCCAGCTCAAGATCTAGCCAGAGGGCATCCCAGAAAGAAAAGAGACATTTAACTCACTTTGCAAAGGTGTATATCATCTCTGAGATTGCCACCAGCCACTAACAACACGAGAATTCAGTTTCCACACACAGACCCTCCCACACCTACCCACCCAGGGGAACAGCTATTGTATGTCTTTAGGTAAGGCTCGCTTTCATCCACTTGTAACCAGACTGGAGACTGAAACACGGGCAGTGACCCCAAAGGAGGGACAGGAAGAGTAATAGCACTGCAGGCAAGCAGAAAATGACACAGGGCCATTTCTTGAGTGTAAACAAAAATGTCCATGGCCTCACTTTCATAATTCATTATTTCTTATGTAAGGAATATTCATTATTGTTATTAATGTAATAATTAGGGGCATATTCTGCCACCTTGCTCCCACTGAGTAGTACAGAGCCTTCCTCTGCAAGCAGTCCCATTGCAATCAGTGACATAACTTGATAAGTAAGGAATACTCATTATGTGCGAAGGCAGCAGAATCTAGCCCTACTAACCCCATGCTGCTACCCTCACCCACACCAATAGGACTATGGGCAAAGTGAGATACTACTCTGTGGGAGCACTGGTGGCCTGCTCTAGCCCTGAGCAATTAATAGTATTGATATGTGGGGAATGGAGACATGGGTTCAAAATAAACTTGACGGTGGAGTTGAAAGGGATACATGTCCCCATTTATGGAGAAGAGATGTCTACAAAATGTTTCAATGGATACCTATAAAATGTCCTAAGGTCTTTTACATAAGTAATAGTCTTTGAAGGGAAGTGATGAAAGCCCCATCTCCTGAGAGTCAATTAAAACTAGGCTGCGAAAATTCTGTGGGGAACAATCTGACATTGGTGGGGCATCTGGAAGTGTGAAAGGAGGGCATGAAATATCCATTTCTATGTATTATATATATTATGTATATATATTATAAATCTATCTATCTATCTATATATACACACATGCAATATCCCTATAATTTCCATCTGTGGATTCTATGAGAGCTACTTATTTTATTTAAATGAAAGCTATTTATCATAGGAAAGCTCACATCAAAGAGTAGGGAGAAACCAGAGAAAAGGTGGCAAGGAATCAAACACACACACATATATATTCAATCCATTATACTGTGTCCCCATTTCACCACCACCACCCACAAACATACACACACTACTTACTTCCCAGAGCCAACAGTCAGGGCTTGCCAGGCTGGGTCTGATTTACCAGAGTACATTACATTTCTGATTTAATTACATGAAGTATTCAAATACACTAACCGCCCCCCGTCCCGCCACTGGCAATCTAGGAAAACCCTGGAGAGGGCCGTGCAAAGGGGGGAAGGAGAAGGCTCAGCCGTAGGAGCTGAAAGGCTGAGGGGCACAGAGTGGGGAGGAAGGGGAGAAGGGGGAAGAGGGGAGATCGGCAGGGGAGGGCGCGGGGCTGCGGGAGGATGGGAGGGGACGGGGGTTCACGCCTTGCCTCTATCTTGTCGATCCTGTCTTTCAGCGACCGGACAGCATCCTCCAGCTCCTGGACCATGGCTGGCGAGTCCCAGGGCAGGTCGCCCATGGTGTCTTTCCGGGGCCCGCCCCAGAGAGAGGCGCTGTCCTGGAAGCTCAGCTCCAGCCCGCTCTCGCACTGGCTCAGCTTGCCCGTCAGCTCGCGGATGGTCTCCTGGTCGCTCAGGATCTGGTCCTTCTGCTGCAGCGCCGTCTGCCTCAGCTGCTCGGCCGCGGCGTGCAGGAAGAAGAGGTCCTCGGCGGGCGCGGGGCCGTCCCCCGGCGGGGGGCTGTCGGAGGGGCACTCGGCCGGCAGCGGCGTGCAGAGGAAGCGGCTGAAGAGCTGCTGGTGGTGCTGCTGCTGGCGGGGCCGGGCGCTGCTGGAGAGCAGCTCCAGCAGGGAGTCCTGGGGGCCGCCCGAGAAGCTCTGCCCAGCACCGTGGAGAGCGCCCGGCCCCTTGTCGGCGGCGGAGGCCGGCAGCAGGGCGGCGGCGGCGCTGGAGTCATTGTCAGCACCCCGGAGAGCTCCGGCGGGGCTGGCCGCAGGGTGGACGCTCGCGATGATGCAAATGATTGCACCAAGGAAAGCGAGCATCCCTGCGGCCAGGAGCACGGCCAGAAACTTCAGGGTGGCAGCTGCGAGGGGGGCCCCGGCCAGGAGAAAACAAGGCGGGATGGCGGGCGGGGGAGCGGGAGAGCGCGAGGCGGAGCGGGCGCTGCCTGAGGAACCCCCGGCTGCCTTGTGCCGCCTGAACCAGCGCTGCGCCGAGTGTCTCCGGCTGGTGGGCACGTCACTGACTCTGCCCCTCCGGGTCCCTCCTCGCCCTTCCCCGCACCCTTTCGGCGCCGGCCGGGGAGCGCAGCCTGCTGCCGGGGCTGCCTGCCTTGCGCGCGCTCTGCTCTCGCGCTCCGAGGCGTGAGAGGGGAAAGAGAAGAGAAGCAGCCCTAGAGCTGCTGCTGAGCAGGAGAGCAAAACAACCCATCTGGGAGCTGGCATAGCCCCCTCCCTGGGCAAACAGGGGCTGCCACTTCATGGATTGGGGCCCCACTCCCAGAATCCACCATGTGACCCCCTGCAGCCCACCTAGCCTGGGCTGCAGGGCCGGCTTTAGGCCAATTCCACCAATTCCCCCAAATCGGCCCCGCGCCTAAGAGGGCCCCGCACCCAGTGGCAGGGCTGCCGGGGTGGGGGCAAGTGGCCGAGAATCCCTTCCCTGGCTAGAGGCTCCTTTTTAATTTTTACTCACCCAGCGGCGCTCCGGGTCTTCGGCGGCACTTCGGCGGCAGGTCCTTCACTCACTCCGGGTCTTCGGCAGCACTTTGGCAGCAGGTCCTTCAGTGCCGCCAAAGACCCACAGCGAGTGAAGGACCCACCGCCGAAGACTAGGAGCGCCGCCCGGTGAGTACAAGCCCCACGTGGTTTTTTACCTGTTTTTTTTTTTAAGTCATCCCTACCGGGGCCCCGTCGAAACTGTTCGAATTGGGCCCCGCACTTCCTAAAGCCGGCCCTGCTGGGCTATTAAACACATTTCTTTAAGCAAGGGAGTAGGGTTGCCGATTTTGCTTGGTTTCATCACATGGCATAATCTTTAATTCCTGGAGACTCCGGGACAGTCCTGGAGGGTTAGCAACCCTACAAGGGGGTGGAGGTGGGGAATCATACAATAAGAATAATTTTAAAGCAACAACTAAGAGCTGCCGAAAAGAACCCATAAGAGGTTTTTTCTGTTCCCTCTTATTTTCTTTATTCCCCTATCAAACAGGAAAAGGTTTTGTCTTCTGGGAGGTGTTGAGCGTTTCAAAATATTAGACACATTAGTGGGATTGTTGTGGGTCTCTGAGGCTAAAACTAATTGCTTTCTTCCTTTAAAAACGTATTAAAGGTAAATAACTAGACCCAGAAATATAAAGCAGAAGTACACATGTTCCTACTCTCTCCAACATTACTGAAGTGCCATGCACACCGGTAACCTAAAAACAATTAAATAAAATCATAGCAGCCCCCAGGCAGCCTTCTCAGGATAACATGTATTCAAGAGTCTGGGAGATGTCTATGGGTAGGATTGGACGGATTAGGTTTTTATTGGTAAATGTTGATTTTACTGTACCTGCACAAATCAATGAGAACATGTTTCCATCAAATAATAATTAAAATGTATAGACAGGCAAAGTAAGAAAATGGTGCTTGAGACCTTATTAAATGATTTAGACTTTTGAATTGGGCTTTCTATAAAGGGACTAGCAAATTGACAGTAAAAACAGGTCTGATCTGTTGATTTAAGGATATTTACTTTGTGTATTTGATGGACACATGATGTTGACAAATTGTGTTTTCACAGTTTATAAAACTTTAACTTTTTGAATTGCAGCATCAACTGTCATTAAATAATGATCTGACCCCATTCCCAATTTCCTGCATTTGTGAACATTTAAATTGATAAAAATTAAAAACGCTTTAAAATAAACCTTGATCTTTTCAGTCAAAATTATATGGTCAAAAATCAAACTCTGCCAAGGTTGTTTATGTGCCTGACCCAGAGCCCAGTGATGTCAGTGGAAAGACTCTCATTGGCTGCAATGGGCAGTGGATCCAGCCCCATTTGGTGGGTGCCTGAGGGTCTGCGTGTCCTCTTGGTGGGTGAGTGCCAGCATGAGTGTAGATGTGCCATGTGAGGAGCCATCCATGTGGCATCTTGTCATCACATGGATGCAGGAGGGGGGTATCACTGTGTGTGTTGGCATGCTTGGGTGTTGGAACTTGTATAGGAGTGTGATGGGGTCTAGCTTTTGGATGTCAGTAGCTGGATGGCTCTCCTTGCTTTATTTTACTGTAAACTGTTGGCCTGTCTCCCCAGCCCAGGAAGGAATCAGCACCATGGCCAGATCTCTTTCAGGCCCTTCCCTCAGGGCATGGTTTATTAATTCAAGCAAAAAATCACAAAGAAACACAAGACAAAGTTATTTTGCTAACCAACAATTATCCATAGAGGCCTTTCATTCTGCCTGCCTCTCTCTGCTCCAGGGCCACTCACAGGAGCTAACCCCCATCCCACAGCTCTCCCTGAGCTCTCTCAGTCCTTTATAGGGATCTCCTGCCCCCTTCCCAGCTGGGTGTGATAATAGAACAAGGCTGGCTGGCCCCAGGCCCCCTGACTCTTAAAGGGGCAGACCATCGTTACACCTACACTCTCCTGTTCCTTGCTTTTCTTGCTACACCCTCTCTTTCTGCCCCGTTGGAGTGTAAGTTCATCCACTTCAACCAGTTTACGCTGACTTACCAACATGTAACCTGCTACACCATTTGTCACCTTTGAATTTGGCCCATTAGGATGATGAGGGTTTTCAGGTATAAAAGCCACAGTCAACATTAACAGAGACAAAAGGAGAGCAAGAAGCCACAATTCCCATGGGGAAGCAGCCTCCAATAGGATGTTCTAAACCTGCATTTCTCTATATTCTTCCCAAATTGGTCACTAGTTACCAAGGAATTAAATTCTTAAGTAGTTCAAATATAAATGAAATACCCAAATTTTAGAACCTCGGGGAAGATAAGTTATCGGAATTCTCAGTGAAAACTTGTGACACCAATTATCCTTAATGTAAAAGTAAATACGCTCTCAGTCTCTTCCCTTAGCACATGAACTATTTCCCTGGTCTGGGCCATAGTAAAACAAACCATCAGATGTTGCTTCAGCTTTGAGCTTAATTAGAAGAGGGGTAAAAGGTTTTGCAAGGGTAACAAAGCAGATTTTATTTGTGTGTTTGGTTTTGGAGGAATTTAACTTATGAGAAAAGACTTAAACTACCTAAATATGTCTAGATTTGCCAACATTTAGTGCTTTCCTGAGGGAGGATCCTAATGAAGATATGATAATTCTCTTTGAGTATATGAAAGGTGTAAACACCAAGGAGGGGAAGGAATTGTTCAGAGTGTTGTTCTTTGGTCCAAGAATGAAAGGGGCTGGAGATCTTGTGAGATGTATGTTTTCCCCTGCCTGCAAGAGTGCTTGTTCTTCCTGATTTCAGCTGACACAGAAAGCCTGAGTTAGAGGTCTAAACTCCTATACAATGAATAGGGAGAAAGAGGCACCTTAGTTCATGACCCATAAAAACCAACATGCTAGGTAGGGAGCCACCTAAGCTAGCCAATGGGGGATGCGGAGGAGAAGGGTGTGTGCTAAGGAGGTGCCTATCTCTGCTTAGTTATCCACAAATGGGGGGACACTGCCTGGAGTCAGGCAGCTCAGGCATCTAAGGCATTTCTTGTGGCAATGAGTTAGGTGCCTGCCTTGCGCCACACAGTATGTCTGGAGGAGGAGGTAGCACTACCCACCCTATAACTTTAGCCCAGTGGTTAGCCCACTTGCTTGGGATGTGGGAGACCCAGGTTCAATTCCCCCCTCTCTGACAGTGGGGGAGAAGGGAGCCCCCCATTCAAATCCTAACTCTAACCACTAAGCTATGGGTAGGCCGATATGAGGCTCCCTCAGCCTCTCCTGCTGAAGCTTATTCACAGTGGAACAATTAATAACGACTGGAGCAGGAGGACTGGCTGCCCCTGGGTCTCCTACCTCCCAGGTGGGTGGGCTAACCACTGGACTAAAAGTTATTAAGTGGGCAGCACCACCTCCTCCTACTCCTCATCTTGAATGGGACTGGATCTGGTAAGCAGCACACCTACTGGATTGAGCCCTGTGTAATTTAGGTGGCTGAATGCCTGTCTTCCCCCAGTATGTAAATCACTCTGGGGCCTAGGGAGGACATAGGCACCCAGACAGCTAGTGTGAGGCAGCAATGCACATATCCAAAGGCAGAAACTTAAGCACCTAAGGAACTTTTACCCTGCAAATTAAGGCACCGAGTGAGTTTAGGTGCCTACGGTGTTTGGCAGGATTTTGTGGACATAGCAGAGCCTAAAACTGTGACTTAGGCATCAATATCCCAGACTTAGGCACTTAAGTAACTTTGTGGATCCTGCCCCCAGTGACTTGACTCATTTAAAAATGGATTGAACGGAGCACTGGAGCATATACTATAGGGAATAGACCTGTATTAGCCAGAGGTGGGGGAGTACAGACAAGACCTACATTAATAAGTATTTTCTCTAACCCCTGTGAAAGAGAGAGCATAGTGAGCAAAGCTCTCTTCTTTGGAGGAAAGCTGTCAGGGCAACTTAACAGAGAATATCAGACTGACAAGTCTTTATTCGGAAGTACAAGGAAATCTGCTGCTATCTTGAGAGTAATAACCCTGTGTTAATGTTCCCCTTATAAGTGTCCTTTACATTAAGTATGACTTTAAAGTCCTTTGCACTGTAGTGTTTGACTTATGTAAAGCTACACACACTTTTCCTGTCCCTGTTCTGCCTATTTCCATTCTCCCCTCTCTGCAAGTACAATAGAAGCAGTAGGTACAAAGCTTTCAGGCAATTTATCCAAGTGATTTTTTAATCAAAAGACCCTATTCAGAGATTGCCTCCTTCTGCCGGTTTGATGGCTACCATTCTGCTCTTGTGCTCAAAACTTACGCCACCCAGAGAAGGAGTGAGATGTTTTTTCTGTATTTGAGAAATAAAAAACAACCACCATCACTTTACAGTGGATCTAAACAACATGCTCAGTACCCATGGTTTCTTT